CTGTCGTTTTTTTTTGGGTCGAAATTTTGAATTTTGATATCTCAGCTCTGGAAGGGTCTAGAGCCTCCATTTTTGCACTCAGGTCAAAGTCTCACAGCCCTCTATCATAATCCAGAGTTTTGAGAAGATTGGAGAAACTTAATTTTTCGCCCAAAAATGAAAAAAAACGAAAGGGGTAACACTGTCGTTTTTTTTTGGGTCGAAATTTTGAATTTTGATATCTCAGCTCTGGAAGGGTCTAGAGCCTCCATTTTTGCACTCAGGTCAAAGTCTCACAGCCCTCTATCATAATCCAGAGTTTTGAGAAGATTGGAGAAACTTAATTTTTCGCCCCAAAAATGAAAAAAAAACGAAAGGGGTAACACTGTCGTTTTTTTTTTGGGGTCGAAATTTTGAATTTGATATCTCAGCTCTGGAAGGGTCTAGAGCCTCCATTTTTGCACTCAGGTCAAAGTCTCACAGCCCTCTATCATAATCCAGAGTTTTGAGAAGATTGGAGAAACTTAATTTTTCGCCCAAAAATGAAAAAAAACGAAAGGGGTAACACTGTCGTTTTTTTTTCGGGTCGAAATTTTGAATTTTGATATCTCAGCTCTGGAAGGGTCTAGAGCCTCCATTTTTGCACTCAGGTCAAAGTCTCACAGCCCTCTATCATAATCCAGAGTTTTGAGAAGATTGGAGAAACTTAATTTTTCGCCCCAAAATGAAAAAAAACGAAAGGGGTAACACTGTCGTTTTTTTTTTGGGTCGAAATTTTGAATTTCGATATCTCAGCTCTGGAAGGGTCTAGAGCCTCCATTTTTGCACTCAGGTCAAAGTCTCACAGCCCTCTATCATAATCCAGAGTTTTGAGAAGATTGGAGAAACTTAATTTTTCGCCCAAAAATGAAAAAAAACGAAAGGGGTAACACTGTCGTTTTTTTTTCGGGTCGAAATTTTGAATTTCGATATCTCAGCTCTGGAAGGGTCTAGAGCCTCCATTTTTGCACTCAGGTCAAAGTCTCACAGCCCTCTATCATAATCCAGAGTTTTGAGAAGATTGGAGAAACTTAATTTTTCGCCCAAAAACGAAAAAAAACGAAAGGGGTAACACTGTCGTTTTTTTTTCGGGTCGAAATTTTGAATTTCGATATCTCAGCTCTGGAAGGGTCTAGAGCCTCCATTTTTGCACTCAGGTCAAAGTCTCACAGCCCTCTATCATAATCCAGAGTTTTGAGAAGATTGGAGAAACTTAATTTTTCGCCCAAAAATGAAAAAAACGAAAGGGGTAACACTGTCGTTTTTTTTTCGGGTCGAAATTTTGAATTTCGATATCTCAGCTCTGGAAGGGTCTAGAGCCTCCATTTTTGCACTCAGGTCAAAGTCTCACAGCCCTCTATCATAATCCAGAGTTTTGAGAAGATTGGAGAAACTTAATTTTTCGCCCAAAAATGAAAAAAAACGAAAGGGGTAACACTGTCGTTTTTTTTTCGGGTCGAAATTTTGAATTTCGATATCTCAGCTCTGGAAGGGTCTAGAGCCTCCATTTTTGCACTCAGGTCAAAGTCTCACAGCCCTCTATCATAATCCAGAGTTTTGAGAAGATTGGAGAAACTTAATTTTTCACCCAAAAATGAAAAAAAACGAAGGGGTAACACTGTCGTTTTTTTTTTCGGGTCGAAATTTTGAATTTCGATATCTCAGCTCTGGAAGGGTCTAGAGCCTCCATTTTTGCACTCAGGTCAAAGTCTCACAGCCCTCTATCATAATCCAGAGTTTTGAGAAGATTGGAGAAACTTAATTTTTCGCCCAAAAATGAAAAAAAAGAAAGGGGTAACACTGTCGTTTTTTTTTTCGGGTCGAAATTTTGAATTTTCGATATCTCAGCTCTGGAAGGGTCTAGAGCCTCCATTTTTGCACTCAGGTCAAAGTCTCACAGCCCTCTATCATAATCCAGAGTTTTGAGAAGATTGGAGAAACTTAATTTTTCGCCCAAAAACGAAAAAAAACGAAAGGGGTAACACTGTCGTTTTTTTTTCGGGTCGAAATTTTGAATTTCGATATCTCAGCTCTGGAAGGGTCTAGAGCCTCCATTTTTGCACTCAGGTCAAAGTCTCACAGCCCTCTATCATAATCCAGAGTTTTGAGAAGATTGGAGAAACTTAATTTTTCGCCCAAAAACGAAAAAAAACGAAAGGGGTAACACTGTCGTTTTTTTTCGGGTCGAAATTTTGAATTTCGATATCTCAGCTCTGGAAGGGTCTAGAGCCTCCATTTTTGCACTCAGGTCAAAGTCTCACAGCCCTCTATCATAATCCAGAGTTTTGAGAAGATTGGAGAAACTTAATTTTTCGCCAAAACGAAAAAAAAACGAAAGGGGTAACACTGTCGTTTTTTTTTCGGGTCGAAATTTTGAATTTCGATATCTCAGCTCTGGAAGGGTCTAGAGCCTCCATTTTTGCACTCAGGTCAAAGTCTCACAGCCCTCTATCATAATCCAGAGTTTTGAGAAGATTGGAGAAACTTAATTTTTCGCCCAAAAACGAAAAAAAACGAAAGGGGTAACACTGTCGTTTTTTTTTCGGGTCGAAATTTTGAATTTCGATATCTCAGCTCTGGAAGGGTCTAGAGCCTCCATTTTTGCACTCAGGTCAAAGTCTCACAGCCCTCTATCATAATCCAGAGTTTTGAGAAGATTGGAGAAACTTAATTTTTCGCCCAAAAACGAAAAAAAACGAAAGGGGTAACACTGTCGTTTTTTTTTTCGGGTCGAAATTTTGAATTTCGATATCTCAGCTCTGGAAGGGTCTAGAGCCTCCATTTTTGCACTCAGGTCAAAGTCTCACAGCCCTCTATCATAATCCAGAGTTTTGAGAAGATTGGAGAAACTTAATTTTTCGCCCAAAAATGAAAAAAACGAAAGGGGTAACACTGTCGTTTTTTTTTTGGGTCGAAATTTTGAATTTCGATATCTCAGCTCTGGAAGGGTCTAGAGCCTCCATTTTTGCACTCAGGTCAAAGTCTCACAGCCCTCTATCATAATCCAGAGTTTTGAGAAGATTGGAGAAACTTAATTTTTCGCCCAAAAATGAAAAAAAACGAAAGGGGTAACACTGTCGTTTTTTTTTGGGTCGAAATTTTGAATTTCGATATCTCAGCTCTGGAAGGGTCTAGAGCCTCCATTTTTGCACTCAGGTCAAAGTCTCACAGCCCTCTATCATAATCCAGAGTTTTGAGAAGATTGGAGAAACTTAATTTTTCGCCCAAAAATGAAAAAAAACGAAAGGGGTAACACTGTCGTTTTTTTTTCGGGTCGAAATTTTGAATTTCGATATCTCAGCTCTGGAAGGGTCTAGAGCCTCCATTTTTGCACTCAGGTCAAAGTCTCACAGCCCTCTATCATAATCCAGAGTTTTGAGAAGATTGGAGAAACTTAATTTTTCGCCCAAAAATGAAAAAAAACGAAAGGGGTAACACTGTCGTTTTTTTTTTCGGGTCGAAATTTTGAATTTCGATATCTCAGCTCTGGAAGGGTCTAGAGCCTCCATTTTTGCACTCAGGTCAAAGTCTCACAGCCCTCTATTATAATCCAGAGTTTTGAGAAGATTGGAGAAACTTAATTTTTCGCCTGAAAATGAAAAAAACGAAAGGGGTAACACTGTCGTTTTTTTTTTGGGTCGAAATTTTGAATTTCGATATCTCAGCTCTGGAAGGGTCTAGAGCCTCCATTTTTGCACTCAGGTCAAAGTCTCACAGCCCTCTATCATAATCCAGAGTTTTGAGAAGATTGGAGAAACTTAATTTTTCGCCCAAAAATGAAAAAAACGAAAGGGGTAACACTGTCGTTTTTTTTCGGGTCGAAATTTTGAATTTCGATATCTCAGCTCTGGAAGGGTCTAGAGCCTCCATTTTTGCACTCAGGTCAAAGTCTCACAGCCCTCTATCATAATCCAGAGTTTTGAGAAGATTGGAGAAACTTAATTTTTCGCCCAAAAATGAAAAAAAAACGAAAGGGGTAACACTGTCGTTTTTTTCTTGGGTCGAAATTTTGAATTTCGATATCTCAGCTCTGGAAGGGTCTAGAGCCTCCATTTTTGCACTCAGGTCAAAGTCTCACAGCCCTCTATCATAATCCAGAGTTTTGAGAAGATTGGAGAAACTTAATTTTTCGCCCAAAAACGAAAAAAAACGAAAGGAAACTGTTACCCCTCACGCTCACCGCTTAAAACTCCTAAGCAGTGAGCAGCCGGTAACAAGAAGTAGACGAATGAGAACGTCCTCGTCTCAATTCTCGCGCATGCGCCCATAAGGAAGTAATGGAATAGTGGAATAAAGTCGTTATTTATGTTTTTTTCGCACAAAAAGTATTCTCGTCGCTTGATAAACTTATAATTGAGCCGCTTGATAAACTGATAAGTGAGCCGCTTTAAATATTCCATGCTGGCACATGGAATATTTAAACCTTTTCTTTAATGACTTTATGGGCCGTCAAGAGCCAGTCCCTTAGGCAGTCTATATAGGACTGATCCAGCTCTCAGATTCAATCAAAAATATCTTTATTTGTGTTCCGAAGATGAACGAAGGTCTTACAGGGTTGGAACAGCATGGGGGTGAGTAATTAATGACTTCATTTTCATTTTTGGGTGAACTAACCCTTTAAGGCCACAAGATACTGTCTTGAGGCCACGAGTTACTATGTTAAGGCCACGAGATACTACCTTGAGGCCACGAGATACTGTCTTGAATCAAAATGCCATGACTCGATCTTTCAGTGAAATGACAGACTTCTCTCTGGTGACGTATTGAGAACTTCAATAATTTCGTCCACTGAATTCCTCCACAACTGACTGCAAGCTCGCATTCAGCTCTGGCTCCATCCATTCAACAAATTATGGATTGTTTCAAGTAACGTCCCAAAATAAAAAGGGTCGCTAATTCTGTGTAGTCTTGATCTATTTACTTCAAATGCTCACTGTCATTTCTATCAAAAGTTCATCCAACACATTCACATACATGCTGTCACTGGTTTAACATAGGGAAGGAATCCCAACAATTTATTAAAAGTTCATTTATCAACACCAATTACAAAAAGAATATGACAATTCAAATAAACACATGCCTGACATACCACTATGATTCATATCAATAATAATCCATTACAAAAAATTTCTATTTAAATAATATACATTTGGACCATACTGCAATATACATCTCGACACAACATCCATTAGAGCAGTATTTAAATTAAGATTTTTGTAATGTCCGACACTGCTTCTCTGACCCTCGTTGCACTGGAGACAAGATAGTCTCATTTTTTTTTATAAACAAAATGGCAGTTGCACAGCGGCGAGATGGTAAATTGCATTCAGGGGAACCTGCAAAGTGTCCGTGAACCTTTGTACAATGTGTGACAAATCGAAGAAATTTGAACACAGCATAAAAGAAACAATGGCCAGTTAAGACAACAAATAGCATAATATATCTGTGACATTTCAGTGACCCTTCCTTTTTAAATGGTGAGGCGGAGAGGCTTAAAAAGCTGTTTTTTATTAAATGTGCCTTTTTACAACACATTATGCAATTCAGTCTGTTTACCAGCCACTAAGTTAACCTTTTAAGTTTATTCTCCCTCAGTCTCTCTCGAAGTGACTCTGATTGCACTGTTTTGCTAAGGGAGAGCAATCAAAAGGGATTGTGGGAAAGTGACCTTAACTCCTGGAGACTGGGCAGTTATCCCCCTCTTCTCTGACAGTCCGAGCAGCTCCCCCTGAAAGTGCTAACTAATCGAAAAGGTGCCCTCATCAAGCGATATGATGTTTTAGACGCGAAGGGAATTGTATCTACAAAGAGATATTTGCTTTTTAACCATTTACTCAAAGCAATCATTTTACGAAGCTGCTAGATGGTACGTTCAAGGGCTAGTTTTGAAGAAAACGGGCACCCGAAAGAAAGTCGAGGCTTTAGCGATGCCATCAGACAAGCGAGACCAGGTTTCCCTTCAGACGCGCTAGAACAAAAAGCCTCTGCCCAGCGCTAAATGCATTAGCAGACCTTCCGCTTTAGCCTTAAGTCAAAGCGTCTACACGGCCAACTCCAGACCGCACTTACAACCAAATGAGTTCTGAGAACTGCTCTCATATCCTTCATGTAGCGAGACAACAGCAATAAACCTGTAGGTCATAAAAGAACTGATTTACATAGATGAGACTGGAAAATGAGAACATTAGATATCAAGATTAAAAATGGATCAGACTTTTGTATTTTGTGGTTAATTTGGCCCGGGAGCTTGTAGATCTGACTGTAGATCTCATCATTTAAAAAGTCTTCTAGCCGGAAGGTGTGTTCACCACAAATGCAACTTCCTTGTAGAGTTCTTCTCAGACTTTACAATCGCAAAGTTATGTCATGGTTCTTGTACAGTGGAAATATAGATCAACGAGTGCATTTTTCATGACTCGAGACAAATAAAGAGTTAAAAAGTTCAACTCGAGGTCAGCTGAAAAGCCATCCTGTGGCTCGCTTGTGTTTGTAAAGCATCTTTTGGAGGAGTTTTGGGGTCGTTGATGAAATTACTCGAACATTTACGAAAATTTCAGTCCTCTTGGAGTCCGAAAAGTCGAAGCAGACTCTTCTTGCGAATAAAGCCTTCTATTTGTCTGCTAGCGTTTTTTTTTTTTGGTTTTTGTTTTTTGAAAGCAGACTGAGGTGTTCGTGGTCGGTGCAAGACCTGGCTAGTCCAGAGGCTCCTGTTTTATCCGGATGGGCGTGTGGCTGGTCTGACACCGTCTGTCCTCCCGACTCAGGATATACTCGCTGAACTGGGAGGAGTCCACGCCCCCGCCGCATGACGCCACCATGCTGAAGCCTTTCTGGAACAGTCTCTCCAGGACCTAGGAGAAACCAGGGACATATTTAAATGTACTGATATTTCAGTACAATATGAGAACATCAGTACTTCAGATAGTTGAATCAAGACACCAAGAGTCTCACCAGGATCTAGAAGAAACCAGGGACTGAACACTCAGTATTCTTAGTAAAGATGATTTTCGTACAACATGAGAAACTCGTACAAGTTTTGACAGTAAACTCCATTTATGCTAGTTTATCAGCACTTTTATTTGCGTCAAAGACAAACTCCATGCTAACATTTTCTGGAACTGTCGTTCTAGGATCCAGGAGAAACCATTTTGTTCAATTTGAGACTCACTATGGGTTTTTTGGAATTAGAAATTTATGCTAATCTTAAAGGAGTAGTTCATTTTTCAAAAAAACTTTTGCTGATAATTTACTCACCCCCATGTCATCCAAGATGTCCATGTCTTTCTTTCTTCAGTCGAAAACAAATTGAGGTTTTTGATGAAAACATTCCAGGATTTTCTCCATATAATGGACTTCAATGGGAACCAAACAGTTCAAGGTCCAAAAACCTTCATTTCTTTTCGACTGAAGAAAGATAGACATGGACATCTTGGATGACATGGGGGTGAGTACATTACCAGCAAAAGTTTTTTTTAAAAAGTGAACTATTCCTTTAAAACAACAGCATAAATCTGGAACCGTCTAAGAAAAAGTATTTTTAGTATTTTGAGATAAACGTTTAAATAAATGAAATGAACTGCTATTTACGCTACTCGTATCAGCACTTAATTTAAATGCATCAAAACAGCACCAGATTAAACCCTTTTGTCTCTACAGGACCAGGAAGAAAACGGAGACAATTATTTGTTTTTTATACAAATATTAGTTTTCAAAGTAAACTCTATCAGTGCTATATAATTGCATCAAGACGCAAACTTTCTGGAACAGTCTCTCCAGGACCTAGCAGAAACCAGGGACATTTTTAGTGTCATGAGAAGTTCTTTGTTCAATTTGAGAAACTCACTAAGGGTATTTGGAGTAAGCAGATTATAATACTCTACATAATTGCATCAAGATGGCAACCCTTTTTTGGAACGGTCCAGTACCAAAGAGAAACCAGAGAAGTCTTAGTATTTCGTGATGAAGTTTTTCCATAAAATAAGCTGTATTTCAAGCACTTCACCTAACTGCATCAAGATGGCACCAGACTGAACCATTTTTGCAACAGTCTCTCTAGGACCCAAGAGAAACCAGGGGAATTTTGTGTCTGTTATTTTGAGTTCAAGTCCTCTATAATGAGAATATGAAAAACTCGGTATGACTTTTTTTCAAAGTAAACTCCTATTTATGCCACTCTATCAGCACTTCACAAAGTTGCATCAAGACGTATTTAAAATGTGCAATCTCAGTAACAGCGCTATCAACAACTTCACGCTTGCATTAACCCTCAGACGTTTCTCTCTCCAGACCATGCACCCGGGATGAGAAGGAGCGAGCAGACATCCCCTGGGCTGTTTACAGGGGTTTGATGCCGAGTCAAATGAGAATAGGCTCCCCCACTGACAGCCCACACTGTAGCCGCCCGACTCTTTCATTACAAACCCAGTGCGCACAATCTCAGCTACTGTCAGAGATCCCTCACCGAGAGACGTCTCAGGGCGGCCGCTGTCACTGTCATTCCCACCACCGCAAAAAGCCAACCAAATGTTTTATCTGTTGGAGTGCTTGTAGATTTTTTTGAAATTCAATACATGCAGCCTTGAGTATTCACTTACTCCTGCACTTCTTTCAAGTGTGCTTCACATGAAAATGAAAGTTCTGGCTCGGGGCTACAGAGCCAGATAAAAGTCCCTCCGCAAAAAAAGATGATGAAGACGAAGGAATCAGCTGAACTGCACAGGGCCTGAGAAAAAATGTCCATCCTTATCCTCACTTTGGAAGTTGAGGCTGCGGAGAAACTTGTAGAGGAAATGAACGCTTCTTTTGACTTGCGCACAGATGAGAAATGAAAGACATCAGTAGATGATACAAGGGCCTACCGTGCTCAAAGAAAGATTGTGTTTTTGAAGCATTTTTCAAGAACATGTATCGCCATTAAGATCCATGTTAGGTTTTGGTTGCATCAGTGTTACGGGAGCGAGTTTTAAAACACAAATCGTTTGGCTTTGAAGTTCGTTCTTTTTGCATGATTTGAAACCTTTTGGCCACTTGTAGAAGATTAAAGGGATAGTTCACCTTAAAAAAATGTTCATTGTATCATCATTAGAAGAGAAGAATGAGTTGAAAGGTTTTTTTTTTTCAACATTTTTTGTTTTGGACCCCATTGACTTGCATTGTATTGACAAAGACATTTTCAAAACAAATTGTGTTCCACCACAGGAAAAAAGGGTGAATTCTAGGTGAACTATTCCGTTAATAAAAAAACATCCATATCTAGAGCTGTTCGTGAATACAGAATGAACATATATAGTGTCACAAGCCTCTCAAATATTCACGCATTGATATGTGAAGGCTTATGATTTTGACATTACACTCACTGCGCTGATGGTTGCATCACTTACTAACTTTCTTACAGTAAAGGCTACAATTTCTTGGCAACAAACTCTCTCTCTTACTCTGTCTTTTCCCATATCTCTCGTCCTCTGTCATTCCTCTCTGATCTACTCATATTTCGTAGGTTGGTTTTTGTGAACACCCGAGATGTGACAAAGACGGGGCTTTAAAAAAAATCCACCCGCGCGATTCTGTTGGTTAAGTGCAACTTTTTTTTTAGCAGAAAAAATACATGTTATCAGAAACACTAATTAGTTATACAGTAAGTCAATTAGGCGTGTGTAAAAAAGTAGCGTAAACCAGTTTAGGTTGTTCAAAGAAACCAAAGTACAGTATTAAAAATGTAGCATGTGTGTTTAAATCGCTTCAGGCACAGAAATGTTGGAGCACTTTTTCAAACGGAGAGATTTGTCTTAAGGACGAGTTAAAAATAAATTATGCATATCATTTCCCTCTCTTCTCCTCTCGGTTTCATGACTACATATTCCCCGCATTAGCATCGCCTCCAGGATTCAGAAGCATGTATGTGGATGTATCCGTGTGTCTGTTTTAGCACCTTTTAAACAGCCAAATACTGGGGCACGACTGCACCTTTGCTGCTGTGGAGCCACACCTGCCTTCTACATCTCACACCCTCTCACATCTCTTCATGTTGGCAGGAAGCAGTCCAATATCCCAGCAATCCAACAAAACTTTTTCCAAGTCCAAGTCAAAACTTTAAAGTTCACCAAAGCCTTTATAATACCAGTAGTTATATTTCATTTAAATGCAATTACTGATTTTATTTTAGGCCTTTTTGAGCATTTTGCATTGACAGGTAGTATAAAGAGTCTGGAAGATGTGGGATCTCATTTTGTCTGGACTACACATTGATTAAAACTAAACAAAAATGGGTAAAACTCAAGAAAAACATGACTAGTTCACAAAGTACCTCCAAAATGATAATGAAAAAATATTAAATATAACTTGACATAACTTTCATGACATTTTTCCTCCAAATTCATTAACATTTTACTTTTACACTTTTTTGCTTTTATTTTTATTCAGCAAGGATGAATGCATATAATATGGAAGCTTGTTTCCGCCACTGAATAAAAATAAATACATAAATAATTGCGACTTTTTATCTCAAAATTGTGAGATATAAAGTCAGAGTTGCGAGATATGAAGTCAGAATTGCGAGATATGAAGTCAGAATTGCGTGATATAAAGTCGCAAATTCTGAGAAAAATAGACAGAATTGCGAGTTTACATCTCACAATTCTGACTTTATAGCACATAATTGCGAGTTTATATGTCGAAATTCTGACATCTTTTCTCAGAATTGTGAGATTTAAACTAGCAATTGCGAGTTATCAGGCTAATTCTAAGGGGAAAAAATACCAACTTTTTTCACCCTCAGAATAGTTTAAATCTCCAATTCTGACTTTATATCTCACAATTCTGAATTTATATCTCGCAATTGCGACTTTATATCACGCAATTCTGACTTTATATCTCCCAATTCTGACTTTATATCTCACAATTCTGAATTTATATCTCGCAATTGCTACTTTATATCACGCAATTCTGACTTTATATCTCGCAATTCTGACTTTACATCTCGCAATTTTGACTTTACATCTCTCAATTCTGAGAAATATTCAGAATTGTGAGATGTAAATTCGCAATTGTGAGAAAAAAAGTCTGAATTGTGAGATAAAAAGTCGCAGTTACCTTTTTTATTTTTCATTCTGTGGCGGAAACAAGCTTCCATAGTATAATGTTACAAAAGATTGATATTTCAAAACTAAAGTTTCAATTCATCAAAGAACGTATCACGGTTTCCACAAAAATATTAAGCAGCTCAGTTGTCTTCAACACTGATAATAAGAAAAATGTTTCTTGAGCAGCAAATCAGCATGTCCGAATGATTTCTGAAGGATCATGTGACACTGAAGACTGCTGAAAATTCAGTTTCGCATCACACCAATAAATTACACTTTAAAATATAATGTACTAGAAGGCAGTTCTTTTAAATTGTAACAATATGTTTTTCAAATGATTTTTCAACGCCATAAAAGAAAATCTTCTGATTGGTAGTGTATTAGTAATTGATGACCATCAAATGCATGGTATTATTAATAACAGTGCTGTACCTGTACAGAATTGAGCCTGCAGTAGCCATTCAGTGGAAAGCGAATAACATGGGTTGGATCCTGGTTCCAGCCGGCGTTGACAGAATTGCACATGACATCCCCGGTCTCTGGGAAAATCTCTTCTATGAGGGCCTTGTCTCCACTGATGGCAATCCTCTCGCCCAGGTCAGGGGTCACCCGCACCACCAGGCACTCGCAGGGCTGAGCCGTCCGCCGCTGCTCGCGGTCCTGTTTCCAGCGCTCCAGCTCTTTCACCATGGGCGTCAGCTGGTAGAACCGAGCCTCCTCGTACAGCAGCTGGAACTCCTGCAGCGACAACACATGGAAGTCAATGTATGCACAGAAAGATAGACAGAAGGATGAGCGAACAAACAACCCATCCAGCAAAAGATTGAATGAGCAGAAAACAGACCAACCATTGAATGAATGAATGAATGACTAAGCAGACAAAGAATGCATCGGCAAACAAACAAATCATTGTGAAAAAATAAACAACTAATTATTTTCTAGCCCTACTCTGTCATGATAAAATATCATTTCATGATGTTATGAATCCACTAGGTAAGACATGATGGACTTTTTTTTTTTTACAAAAACAAAAGAAGAAATTCAAACCCATATAATGATTGAGTACGATGTCGTTTAGCATTTAGCATGAACCCAGACCAACACATGGAGCAGTTTTGCCTATCTGACCCGTCTCTAACCGGGACCAGGGCGAGGGGGGGTGGGGGTAAAGCCCCTCCGGCTCTCCCCTCACACACAGACTCTCTGGTCGGACAGCACAGATTGCTGCCTCTGCCTGAGGGCTCCTTCACCCTCGAGCACATTTACCCCACTTACACTCGCCTTTCATTCACCACTAAACCAGATGGCAATGCGCCTCAGTCCAGCCATTATAAACACTACAGAAATGAAAGTATTTCCAATATAAACATGGTGGTATGCATGGCAGGAAAAGTGAATAATAAACCAAAGTTAGTGGTGTTATAAACACTGATTTTATGCAGCAATTCAAGTCTGTCTTATCTCTATTTTTATATATTTAACAATACTACAGGTATAATTTGGAGAAAAACATTGAAATATAAGCATCTAAATATTAACCCTCATGTTCTGTTGATGACCACATTTCTAAAGGTGAAAATAATACTATATTATACATTATAATGATATCATTCAATGCAATTCATATATATATATAGTTTAAAGTGCAATGTTTAAAGGAGTACTTCACTTCACTGATAATTTACTCACCCCCATGTCATCCAGGAGGATGTCCATGTCATTCTTTCTTCCGTCGAAAAGAAATTAAGGCTTTTGATGGAAACATTCTGGGATTTTTCTCCATATAATGGACTTCAATGGGAACCAAACGTTTCAAGGTGCAAACTGTTCAAAGGGCTTTAAACGACACCAAACGATCGCTCGTTTAATAAATAAATAACAAAGTTTAAGTTTTATAAGCTCAAATGGTCGCCTTGCTCTGTTCTGTGATGCGTGATCGTAACTCTCCTGTTCGAACTTGTTTATCAAAATGAACAAATCTTTTTTTGTGTCGTGGTTCATTCAATGAACGAATTGACTCAGGAAAAGATTCGTTCATTTTGATGAACGAGTTTGAACAGGGGAGTCATGAACGCGCATCACAGAACAGAGCAAGGCGACCATTTGAGCTTATAAAACTTAAACTTTGTTATTTATTTATTAAATGAGCGATCGTTTGGTGTCGTTTAAAGCCCTTTGAACAGTTTGCACTGAAACTGTCTTTTGGACCTTGAAACGTTTGGTTCCCATTGAAGTCCATTATATGGAGAAAAATCCCGGAATGTTTCCATCAAAAGCCTTAATTTCTTTTCGACTGAAGAAAGAATGACATGGATATCCTCCTGGATGACTTGTCATTTATTTATTAAACGAGCGATCGTTTAGTGTCGTTTAAAGCCCTTTGAACAGTTTGCAGTTTGCACTGAAACTGTCTTTTGGACCTTGAACCGTTTGGTTCCCAGTAAAATGCATTATATGGAGAAAAATCCTGGAATGTTTTCATTAAAAACCTTAATTTCTTTTCGACCAAAGAAAGAATGACATGGATATCTTGGATGACATGGGGGTGAGTAAATTATCAGCCAAGGTTTTTTTTTTTTAAAGTGAACTACTCCTTTAATAATAGTATATTATATAGTTTTATTGACGCATACACTTTTCAGAAAAGAAAATGTTTTAATTTTCTCAAAAATGTTCAAATTATGTCAAATATACCTATGGACCCCAAACAGTAAGGTAAAATTGATTGTGCAGCATGTTTGATCGAGTTACAATTTTGCCAGTTCTCATTAAGTAAAGTCATGACGCATTAACCTGATAGTGTTTTTGGAGATATTAAAAGGGCCTTGGGGTCTCTCAGACCCCAAACATGAGGGCTAAAGGGCAGTTCTGCTTGAAACGCTGATAGCATTCTTTGGTTGTTGTGCGCCTGGTGGCCTATTCCCTCAGTGGCCGTGAGAGATAGCAGTGATCTCGACCCTGCTGGCTCTTCATCCCCACCCTGTAAGACTACTCATTCCACTGCAGGCTACGCCACGCACAACAATAGCACACACCATCTCAGACACAACGCTCTTTTACAATTACCACAAGAAAAGGAGTTGTTTTCTTACCCACACCCCTCCCTCACCCTCTCTTCTTTCTCTCCCTCTTTATTCCCTATGTTCCTTTCTTTAGCCCATACTGGTGCTGACAACATGGATACAGAGACTTTAGGCCTTCGGGCTCTTGCTAATTCAAAGAAAAACAAGCTCCGCTTCTTTCCCAGGTCTGCAGTGAAGGCTGGGTATGTTTTAACAGGGCTCTTTCTGTGACTCACTTTTGGGAAAGAGAATGTAAAAGCAACGGCCCACAGTAGAGTGAATTTAGTCTTTAGGCCATATCCATATAGACAAATGAAGCTGGATGCGCTACACGGTTTTCAAGAGCAAAATCTTCCAGAACAACAAAAATGCTGGCAATTAAGTCAATAAGTCGAGTCTTATGAATACGCAAATGTAACAGACATCTGGGAGGAAGCCAAACGTATCCCATCACCTCTCACTGGAGGTTTGTGGATGAAAAAGACTGTTTAATAGGTTTGTAGGTTTCTAGGCCTTACAGACAGACCCAACAATGGCTGAACAGCGACTAGGTCATGTAGTCATTCTCACAGGTCAGGGCATGGTGAGTTTTGATGGCAGAAGTGTGAAAAGTTAAGGGTAATGGGATGTAATGATGTGCCTCTCAGAGCAGTTCCATATTTGATGTGTTGTTATCAAACGGTCTAACACAGTGGAGGAAAGCTAGCCACGGAGCCTGAGGCGGGAATGACTAGTCTCACCCTAATTAATCCCATTGACACAAATACCTTTACCCATCTGATTTTTGACTGAGGCAGGACCGACTTATCTGCCGTCATTGAAGAAAAGACTTACAGCTATGTGTGTTTGAAGTCAGAAATTGGCTTTTGAACCTTGTTTTGTTGTTATAAATGTCCTTAGTATTTTTTGTTGTTGCTATAAATGTACTCAGTATTTTATTTCATTTTGTTATAAATGTCCTTAGTATTTTTTTTGTTGTTGCTATAAATGTAGCCTACTTTGTATTTTCAAGTCAATACTGACAGTATATGGACATATTTCAAAGGAATTGCCAACAAAAATGTTAAAGGCTGCATCCGAAATCCCATACTTCCCTACTTTGCTTTCTACAAAACAGTATGTGCCAAAAGAAGTGTCCAAATTCACAGTACTCATTAAAGAATAGCCAAAAAGTACCCGGATGACCTGCTACTTCAGGCGAAGTCTGCATTCGATGGATACTTTACTATCCCATGAGGCCACGGGAGAGTATTTATGAATGACAGCGAAGCGACGTAACTGACGCTGGTAGGTCACATGATAACAACAACATGGCGAATGTGTTGTGTCCGGATTATATTCATACTACACACATTCATACTATGTAGAACGTACTTTTTTTAGCGGTCAAGAAGTAATTACTTAAATAAAATAAGTACCAACTCAAGAGAGTATGCAATTTTGGACACGGCCAAGGTGTTTCTGAGGAACAATGTCATACAGTTGCTCAAATTTGTGATGCCTTATCTCAAGATGATCTGAGGAAATTTTAGTGAAGTCTGGAGGTTTTCGTAGTGATGCCATAGGAGAGCCATTTTAGGTTCGTTAAAGAACCTTTCAGTGAACAATGGAAAAAAGAACCATTTTTTCAATTGAAGGGCTTCACAGATGTTAAAGGTTTTTCATGGAACCATCGATGCCAGTAACCAACCTTTATTTTGAAGAGTGTGCCTGATTAATCTTGTAAAATGTTAATCATAGTGTTCAGGAATTTTAGAGATATGAAGCTATGAAGAGATATGAAGGTGGTGAAGATAAGACACATGCCTTTGGTGTGAGAGATCCAGGTTCGAATCCACTGTGAGACACCAATGTGTCCCTGAGCAAGACACTTAACCCCTAGTTGCTCCAGAGGCGTGCGACCTCTGACATATATAGCAATTGCAAGTCGCTTTGGATGAAAGCGTCAGCTAAATGAATAAATGTAAATGTAAATATGAAGAGATAAGGTTGAATTATTCCAAACCCATGGTGTATTGTATTGAAACCATTATTTCTCTGTGGCTCTGTCTGGCCTTTGCTTTTCACCTCAAGGCTATTCACGTGATGCTAAGAGAGGAACTAAACGAAAGGTGACACTTTATTTTAAGGTCACATGGTTACAAGTAACTAAGCTTAACCATAACTCTATAGTCGGTAAAGGTAGTTCATTAATATTACTCAGTGCTTATTTGAGTAAGTACAATATAACTATGACCTGCTGAAGAGACATTCGGTGTGTGTTCCTTACCCTGAAGTCATCAGGAAGAAGCAGTTTGCTGGTTCTCAGGTAGCTCAGGATGAAGCGGAATATCTCTCCGTCTCTGTCGATAAAATAATGCTGCTTCAGACTGTCCAAAACAATCGGTTCTGTGCCGTTGAACAGGCGGCTGATTCTGGGGGGAGAAAATGAAACTCAATGATACTCTAACTTCAAAAATTGTTATACTATCTGACATAAAGAATGATGAAAAGACATTCTCTAACAAAAACGCTCCTTTTTCTTCACATTCACATTTGAAATAAGTTTAAGGGTGAACACACAAGTTGATTATTTTAACCTGATTTAATTGCCGGAATGGGGTCAAGCATTGGGAATTACGCTGTATACTATTTCTATCCTTTGGATAATTCGACTTTATCTTTGAAAAATGTTATTATTTCATTCTCTCATCCTATTTCATTCTTCCGTTCTTTCTTTCTTTCTCTCTCTCATTCTGGAAACCGATGCAAAACACTTAATAAGAAAACCAATTCCCCCTTTTGTGCCTCGGGTGGTCCTTTTCTCATATGGTCTTGCCGTTCCCCCAGTTAGAATTTCACCATATAGCTTTAGGCAATCTTAGTTTTTCATCTCAGACTCTTTCTTTTTTTTTTCTCCAAAAAGCAATTAAAATGCTGCCTGCTTTTCACCCTCCCCCCCATTTTCCTCTCCTCCCTCCTTCTCGTTGCTCTCTCTCGCTCCATATCCATTAATAAATCAGAGCGAGCCACGCTCTCTGTTAACCTGAACAGATGTGGCAAAGCTCTCACACTCTCTTCCCATCTTGCACACACACATCTCTAACAGGTGGCGTCCCTTTACCTCCCTTTATCCGCAATCCTCTGTAGATTACAGTTGGGACGGCATGTAGGAATTGCATGACTCTACAAGTGGCAGTAGTAAAATCATATAATTTTGACACACAAATTAACTTAAAGTCATTTAAAAGAACAGCAACTAAATACATCTTTGACTTATCGCTCTATACACACATTGTAACATCATTTTGCACTTAAACTTAAAAAAGAAAGTTGGACCACAGAATGACAACATAAATGCTCACAAGAGCTCTGTAAACATGACATAGTTTTACGTCAACATCAGTCTCATCTGTTCCAATAAAGTCAGCGTCAAATCACGACAGGTTGTCTTACCTGGAGTCTGGGTATTTGGTGAGGGTGGCCAGACTGCTGGTGTACATGTGCCCGCCTACGTCAATGTGGACTGGAGCGTTTGCTTTAGTCAGCTGAGCCGGCAGTGGGATTCCCTGAGAGGCCAGAGGAGACACTGGGGACCGGGTCAAAGACAGCCGAGACATGCTCCTTCCCTCCTGTACAAACAGCAACAGTATCAAACCAACAGCTCCTGGTTCCCCTCTCCCCTTCACTCTCCGAGATCTAAGGTGCGTTTCTGGCCTGCAAGTACGCAGGAGATCACTTTTACAGCTTCCCTTAAATTGCGTTTTTTACCTTAAGAATTAGCACCACAAGTCTAATTAAGAAAATTTGCCTGCCGTTTTTTCCGCCTCCTTTTTTCATAGAACCGGAGGGGAGAAATGGAGTGATGCTTATTAGCGAGCACGAAAGGGAGAGAGGGAGAGAAGGAGAGAGCGAGAGAGAGAGGGATGGATCCTAGTACTGTAGGTGTCTACCTCCGGGGAAAGAGAGGGAAAAAGTGTAAACTCCTAATTAAAGATATTGGGCAAATGTGTGAGACTCAAAACACCTCATCACCAACAGCTTTCCAGTTCTTTAAAAGTTTCTCAGAGAAAAAAAAAAAACATTTTAAATTGAAGCCAAAAACGAGGCTAAATAAGACTCCACAAGGTCAAACATGATAATCAAAATGATGCTGCATCATAATAAAGATTCAGTTGGTGCTGAAGGTCTCATTGTCATCTCCTCTTACAGCTCTTTACATTAAAACCATAGGGACCATGAGGCATGAATCCACCTATGTTTGGTGTAACAAACAATTCCGCCGAAACAGATGGTTAAAGTCCCATTTCCAAAGGCATAATGCCTGGAGCAATGTGTGCACATGGTTTAACGTCAGGGTCTTATACACTTCTATATAGGACGATGTATCCTATGTAGTCTTTAGACATTAAAATATGAAATGTCAAAAAATGAATTGGGTCCATGTTTTAGCTATAGTTAGCTTTCAAATAGTTTATCATAATTATTTTTAAAAGACAAACTACTTAATAGGAGGAGTATTCAAATATATATGGATTTATGGCCTGGGAAGGACTGACAGGAGAACTGCCCCACTTTTCACGATATTAAAAAAATCAGCCATTGAATCGAGTGAATGTAGAGAGCCATGACTAAAGACATTTTAGGGCAATGTTACTTCTGAATTGAATTTAAGATTTAAATACAGAGTACCATGACATAATGACAAGAAACCATATTTTTAATAAAATAAAATAAAAAATCCGAAATAACAAACGGGGCCATTGTCCCATAACAAACAAATGGCTCTTATGAGCCGGTTCTTTTAATGAATCGCTCAATAAGACTCATAGCTTGGAATCAGTCTGAGGAATTCTACACTGAATGAACAGTGAATCCGAATCAACATCTCACTCAGTTACTGAACTGCAAATTATAATTAAATTATGTACTGTGTGTGTGTATAGCTAACGATGATGAGAGCCATCCTCAAAGTCAGAAATAATAGTTTGTGATGTTAAAACTGCGCCAGGTCCCTGGAGTGCGTAAAATAGCCCTACAACTCTCTGTACCGCACTTCCTGTACGCAGTGGGCATACAGTGACCTCTCATTGTACACTCAAATCATCCCTCCCTGATCTAAAACCGCACACCGACACACCGAAAACGAATGCAAAAGAAGCACTGGAGAAAAAAAAATCGAGAATTTGACAGAATCCACCGTACCGTTTCAAACATTTTAGGATGTCCGACGCAATCTGAGGAAGGATTCTAGCAGACTGTCTCTGATGAAGGTTGCTTGTCCTTTAGAAAGAACTTTTCGTAATATTTTTTCGGCACTCCAAGAGCTCCTCGGTGACAATTCCGTCCTGAATCCAGCGAAATCTAACGCGCCGCTATACAGGTCGCTGTGGCTTTAAAAACTCGTTTAAAACACAGACCACAGTCTCCGCTAAATGACACTTTCCACAAAAGCTACACAGGGGAGCCAGTCAAGGCTGCGTCCTTACCTTGGAAGACATAGCTGTAAATGTATCTTCAGCCCTCTTTAAAACATGAGATCGATCGTGGCGTGTCTTAGCCTCGCTTTTTTTCCCCTTCTTGCTCCTTTTTTGTTGAAGCGCGAGAGAGCGTTGAAGGCACAGCGTTCCAGCCCGAATAACAGAGGACAGCTGAACAAGAATTCTTGCTTAAGGCTCTCCAAACGCCCCGGGGCAGGATTAGGCTACAATTAGCTCAACCCTGCCTGAGCTGGGGCGAGTTACAAGAACAACATTTGATCTTGCTATTCACATTTGGAAGACTGCGTATATATGTGTTTTAATCGCGTTTATCGTCTTTTATTCGTCTGCTTGAACAAAGATATGTGCATGCGCGAGGATAACGGTTTACTAGGTTACCTGTATGCATGTATTTGGCTTCATCTAGCAAAAGAGAAACAATCTTTTGTTTGAACCTATTTAAATAGGCTATATACAGTATTACAATTTATGAATAATATTTTTTTCTACTGTCATCTTTTTTGTTTCTCTTCCAGCTATTCTTGCGGGCTTAGAAGAATGTCTTAATTTGGTTTTACAATGTTTCTCTCAGCGTCCTAATAAAATTCTGCTGGCCATGAAAACTAAATGACGTATATCGATATGCATTGTGCCTCTGCAAAAGGCGCCCACACAAAAACGCCTCGAGCCAAACGCGCCATTTCAATTTTTGCGCGCGGCTAGATAGAGATGTCTCTGCCTCGATGGCATACAGCTTTCAGGTGGAAGACAGGCTCATTGTGCTGTTAAGAAAAAAGATTTTACAAAAATGATATTTGACAGTTTTAGCCCTTTTGTAACAACAGTGTTCTACTTCTCTTGAAAATGGGGTGTATCTCTTGACATCTGGCGCCAACCAGTGACCAAACTGAACGCCAATTAAAAACGTTTAAAAGAAAAATCCACAATGCTCAAGAAAACGGCAACTAAATCAATACTTAATTAATAAACTAAAACACGTTTTAGAAATTGTCTGAGCAATATTCAACGGTTATAAGATGTCACGAACAGACGTCAATAGGCTATGTTTACGACGAAAAGAAAACATGGCAAAAGTTTAAGAAAGCGTTATGTCTTAAAATGATTTTTGGGAGCAAAGAAAGTGAAAAATAAAATGTTGAAACCATGGGTTTACTACTAGTATTGTTGGCCTCTAACATATTTAAACAATTATAACCACAAATGAGCCATATGGTTTTGCTACACTAGAACTATGGTAGGCTATTTGTAGCAAAACTGTGGTTACAAAATGGTATCAATCCGCCAAAAAAAAAAAAAAAAAAAAAAATGGTTACAGTTTTACTATAATAAAACATGGTAAATTTGCGTAAGGAGTAGCATGACCTAAAAACGATTTTTCAAATAATTTACAGGCTACTAACAGAGCAAAAGAAATTAAGATTTCCATAAATAAATAATTACAAATATTAATAGTCCTATAATTTATTTCAGTTCAGTTTTAGTTTTGCAAAATAACGTGATAGAGCTCTTCTTGTCACAAATTTGAATTAAAAAAAAAATCTTTTCCAATTACCTTCAATAATCTTTTGGCACAGAGCTAATGTTATCACCTTCGACATAATAGCCCACATTCTCGAGTGAAAACATAGCAAAGCAAATCTGTTTGTATACAGGAATATGTTGCAAACTATTTGGACTTAACAGCCGAATTTTTTTCTCGCCTTTGGCTGAAATTAGTTTCCCACATCAGACGAGCAGCAGGAAGACAAGATATTTTTGTTCAATTAAAGGAACAAGCCCGGAGTTAGTTCAATTACTTGACGCTGGAGGAATATGTAAATTTAAAGATTTAAATAGCTTAGAATGTTGCCTCGAGCGCCTGCACTTCATTTCCTTAATTTACAGAGAGATGAGGGGAGTAATGGTTATCCTAATCATGTGCATCACGCCAACAAACTATATATCTGAGTTACATTACTGTCCCTGGTCTTACAGTTGAGCTTGAGACAAAAAACAGCCTGAAGAAAGAAAAACAAAAGCGCACTGAATCAATATAGCATCTAAAGCTAGGCCTAAATCTAAAACTTTCTCAATTCCCATGAACTAATTTAGTCTCAATGATCTGTACATTAATATTAACGTTGTTAATTTATAACCACTAATAGTATTTAAATTATAGAGTTAAATTTAAATGATATTATTTAAATTATGTATCCGCTTATTTTTAATGTATATGCTAATTTCTAATATGCTCAATTATTTGGAGACAACATTTTGCCAAGCGAGACAATTGTATTACCTGTGCAACAACATCCATAAATGCATATTTTCTCTTGTAAGTCAGATGACGTCTGACAGTGTCCCTCATTGAGCCACAGCGCCATCTGCGGGACACGGCAGAACAACATCATTTCAACATCTCACCTGAAAACAACTTTCAACATTTTTTGATGCTGTTGCATTTTGTCTACTTCTTTTGGTAATTAGATTTTCCATGGTCTTTTTGTAATAACTTAATTTCTAAAAGTTAGTTCACAGCTTATTCGGTTGCCTCCAGCTCCTTCCATTCCAAAACCCAATCATACCGAGAGACTAATTTTTCTCTTTTCAACCCCCCCACACCCTCCTTTTTAAATATGATTTTGGTGCTGAAGAAAGAAAAATGAAGCTTTTCTTTGTTCTGTCTTCCATGTGACAAATGGTAGCTGATTTGATGTGCCCTTTGAGTCTGTAGATTGTGAGAGAACAGGATGTCAAAGCCCCAGGCCCTGGGAGATAAGGAGGGGGTAACGAGGGGGTGGAGCTAAAAAAGCCGCAGTTGCTCCAGGCGGCAGAGGACTTATTGGAGTGGGAGGACAAGATGTAAAGATCAACACCAGTTTTGACTGCTAGCTGCTTTTGTTTCCAGTGCTGGGGTAAAGGAGCACAAAATATATAAGGCTTCTTATAAAAATATGAACGTCTTATCTATCTAGCAATTGCTAAACTGAAGCTCAGGATGCAGGGTAAAGTGTTCAGCAATGACTTAATAAATAATAACCTATTCATTTGATTTCATAACCTACCTGTATATTATTTTCCGCTTCTGCTAAGAAAATAATAATAATAAAAAAATCAGCCTAGCAACTAGATGAACATTGAATGGATGAAGATGGAATCTTCTAGAAAATGATCTAAAATGTTGTTCAAATATCTTACAATTTAAAAATAATTATAAACAAAAGATACTTAAAGTCTATAAAGAAGAATGTAAAAACTAATAGAATTATTACAATAGTGATGCTTTCGTTGCTATTTTGGCTGTTGGATCTGTCATTATTTTGTCCTTGTTGGTTTTGTTTATCTAGTATCATATAAGCAGAATTAGAATTAATAGATAATAATAATAATAACAATATTAATTATAATAATAATAGACAAAGAGAGAAAAATGTGTTATAATTGAAGGTAGATTATATCTGGTTTAGGCTTGTCGTATATGTATGTGTATATGCATGTGTATATATATATTTTTTTTTTCTTTAAGTTTTCTGTTGTTTGTCATTTTATGTTGGTGAGGTCATCTAATTTGTGAATCTTGTTTATAGGAATGGGGTAGGAGCTTATAAGATTTTTTTTCTTCATCCTACTCCTGTTCTTTTTTTGTCATGGAATGTACTTTGTGTTGGTTTGATTTGTTAAATTGTTCTTGTGGTATTTCGTGTTGCATTACCATGAAAAGAGAGAATAGAAATAAATGAAATGAAATGAACATTGCAAAAATAGATAACATTATTATTAACAGTGAATATTTTGAGGTCATAACTTGAGGCGCAAGACGGCGGCAGTTGTGTTTGTATCAAGGGGGTAATCCATCGACTGGAAGTTAAAGCCTCGTGGGAGATGCCATCTTGTAGCAGAACATCACTTGTGTTAGCATTTCCATTGACTCCCATTAATTTTGGCGTCACTTTGACAGTGAATAACTTTACATCTGAGGCGTTTGAAGACTCCATTTGGCCATTATTTATTTCTAAAGAAACACGACAATGTATAAAATGCTCCATTACCTTGTAGCTTGTGTTATGGCCCCGTAGAAGCAGTTTTTTGTAAAGTAGGCTAAAGATTGCGTCATAAGCAAGCGACTGTCGCACAGTAGAGAGATTACCGTATGGACAGGAGGAGAAGCTTGCGGGCAATTGGGGAAACGTCGAGACAAAATAATTAATCAGAATACCTAGCAAAAGTTTCTCCTGCTCCTAGCTCATGGACAGCTCCTACTCACACTCTCCGCCTCTGCGAGTTTCGGAAGGAAATGATTCAGATTTCTCATGCCACAGCCACTAGAAGACAGACGGGTTGCTCACGTCACATCTACGTCGCCAAGCTCTGTTTCAGTTGGTTTGAGTCTGCGCGTAGGAACGGAAGTGCTAAAATAAAATAAAAAAATAAAATAAAAACTTCACTTGTCTCAATTGGCTTTATGCACAGCTGCACTACTTCCTGAACTTAAGCCAGCTCCTTGTTTCCTGTCTGCCATTATTGGACAAACAATAATGGCAAACAGGAAACAAGGAGCTGGCTTAAGTTCAGGAAGTAGTGCAGCTGTGCATAAAGCCAATTGAGTTCCAATAGGGCTTGGACGCCACATTGCATTCTGGGACATGGCGGCAATGTTGACAGCTTCGTATATGTAAACATAGTAGCAAGACGAACGAACGAAGCAGCTGAGTTGGGAGAAATTAAATAAAAAAGATGTTAAAATCCCTAAAAGGATGCTGAATTTACCAGGATACGTTTAATATAGGGAAACCAGGAACCGGTATGTGGATAAAACGGCAATTGTACGGGTTGGATCCATTTGAAATTTCCAACAAGTTACAGAGTGGCGTTACTTAATCCGGACAAAGGTAAACTGCGCTCCACCTAGCGGCTAGTTTAGTAACAGTTATAGTGCTAACAACCATTAACACATGTAACGTACTTTTAACTGTGTGTCTGTGTAGTTAGTAAGTTAACGTTAGTTGTTTTAAGCAAAACTTAAGTTAGTAAGCAAAACGATGCTTAAAACAAGAGGGTAACATGACAACAGAGATTGACAGTTCCGATGGAAGGGCTAATGTTAATGTTATGAGAATATTAAAATAGGGGATATTTTACAGGAAAATACTAAAACGGGAAGGCTCAAGTACGTGAGAAACCCGGAATAAACGTGAGAGTTGACAGCTAACGTTACTAACTACACTTTTGAAACACATAGTCTAAAAGTAGCCTACATGTGTGAATGAGTGTTACCACTAACAGTTACTAAACTAACAGCTGGGTGGAGCGCATCTTAACGTTACCTTTGTCCGGATTACTGTGTTCCCACTGTTTGCCGCCTCTTTGTTGAAAATTTCATATGGATCCAAACAGTTAAAATAGCCGGTTTAGACCACACACCGGTCACTGGCTTCCCTATTTAACATATCCCGGTAAATTCCACAACCTTTTAGGGATTTTAACATATTTTTTATTTTCTTTATCTCAACTTTTCTGCTGCTTCTCCTCGTTCGACTTGCTGGTTTGTTTACATGCGCGAAGCTGCCTGCCAACATGGCCGCCACGCCAGTAATGACGTCACGCTCTTCTTCTAGAGTTTAGCTAGCGGATGGCAAACCAACTTAAGGTGCATCTACCGCCACCTACCGGACTGGAGTATGATCATCTAGATAGAATAGTCAGAGGGATGTACTATAGACCATTTCACAAGATGTAAACAACACTGGTCCAGAAGCACTTCCTGTTTCAGTTTTTTAACACTACATGAAAGCTGGGATAAAATACAACCAACAGAACATTTAAAACTGAATCAAAAAGTTAAACAAACATCTTTAAGATGTTTTCTTTACATGTGAAAATAAAGAAAACAGTTACAAACTGAAACAGGAAGTGCTTCTGGACCAGTGATGTTTACATCTTGTGAAATGGTCTATATAGTATAAATAAATATTCAAATATTAAATACGGCAAAACAACCCTGTGTTTTTGAGAAATCTCATAACTTGGTTTTTAATACTTTTAGATATATCTCCTAATAAATTAACCAAAGTGAGTGTTTTCCCTTCTTCATGGAGGATTGATGTTAAACAATTACGCTCTTTATGAGATGGCTCTGTCCACTGTCTATGGTTTGTATGGCCACGTCCGAAATAGCATAGGCCAGAGCCATAGGCCATAGAGATGGCTCTAGGCTACACTCTTGAGTAGGGAAGCTACTTATTTCGACTGCTAAAAAGTAGGCTACGTTCTATAAAGTATGTGAAGTATGAATGTAATCTGGACAAAGCCTACTACTACACTCGCCATGTTGTTGTTGTCATGTGACCTACAAGCGTCAGTTACGCTTCACTGCCATTCACAAATCCTCTCCTGTGGCCTAATGGGATAGTAAAGTGTTGATCGCATGCACACTTCAGAATCTCAGAAGTAGGTCACCCGGGTCAACTTATCAACCTACTCTTTTATTAATACTATAAACTCAGACTGATGCAAGGAGGAGATCCTGTCAGATGATTAAGTCAAATTTTATTTCTTAACAGCAGACAATCAAATAAATAAATGAACAGCAAAATGAATCCATCCATAATCAAAAAAACATGAACGAACAATTAAAACCACTTCTAATATTTCTAAGTAAAATATAATTTGAACACTCTTGAGTATAATATTCTTGCCTAAAGGCAAGTTGTTTGAAAGTGAAAAGACAGGTTTTCAAAGGAGTAGGGTCTCGTCCAAGTTGAGACGGACCATTACAGAAAATATTCTTCCTCTTATGAAGATGCAGGGCTAAGTTCCTATTTATTATCACACTGAGCAGACACTAACGACAAATACATATCGTTCTTTTGTGGATTCACATCATGGAGGGGGACCGTATACACACATTGTCTGGTACCCCAAAGGTGTCAGAAATTTGTTAATATTAATACAATACAATACAGAACAATGTCCCTTCTGCAAGATGATCAGCTAAGATAACATTCGTTTATCACTTTATTCTGAGACATTCACGCATTTGTGGTTTGTCTATTGCGATACTCTTGACGAAGGTCGTGTGACCGAAACGTTGTGTGTGAATAAACTTGATTGAAAAGTGCAAGTAATGATAGTGTGCGGGAGTTCCTTATCTGCTTGAATGACTAGCTGGTCTTATTATCCGACGCACCTATCACCTGCAGGTGTGCGATGGAGTTTGGTTACTACTGGTTTGTCTATTGGAAACTTATAGACTCTTGACCTCATCTAAACACCAAGTTCAAAAGTTCAACTTAAGTCAATCAGCTACATTTGAGGCATAAAGATTTTAGGGATAGTTCACTTTGAAATACATTTTTTTGGTGTGTTTAGCTTACCTCAAGGGCATCCAAGATGTAGGTGTCTTTGTTTCCACAGTATTTTCAATTTTGATATTATTAGACACAAGCACCCTATGTTAACGATTTACGCACATGGTCTAAAGCGCAAGTGCACTTGGGGTGTGTCTCTTAATGAGTAATAGGTGTGTTTAGGGTGTAACATGCCAAATCAGAGACTCATCTCCCATTCCCTTTAAACGCCAGTTGCGCTCGTGCCACACCTTAATTTCAGACCAGCACGCCCATGGATGCAAATTTGCTATTTAAACAACGTTGTGCAGGACAGGAAAATGATAGTTGCGTCGGGCTGAAAGTAGCAAAAAACACTTGTCACGCCGCATTGCGCCGGGTGTATGATAGGGCCCCAAATATTAAGGAACATTAAACCACCAGATGGCGCTATTGATAATACCCCGTATAGTAATGGGCTACATTACTTCCATATCGGCATGATGAAAGTGAAGCTGCCATATTAATAGAGGAACTTAAATAATGGGTGTTCAGACTCTGCAAAGCTTCCAGTCACTAGCAGCACTATGAATCACTATTTTATATGACGTCATTACAACAATAAAAAAGGCAATAATGCAGAGAGTCATCTAACGCACATTAAAAGATGGTGCTAGCATTTATTGATATAAAGAAAACGTCATTATATGAGAAATGTCAAAGTAAGGCAAATGTGTAGCAGTTCAAATACATGACACACTGTTCTTAAACAAATTGCACGAATTGTTCTTATACATTCACAAAAAAAGTATCTTGACATATCAGATGTACCAGACCAAATCCAGCATCAATTTTCAAATGTAATGTTGAAAATGTTTCGGCATGTTGTATTGAGTAAAGTGATACTTAAATCTGGACTAGTGCTAAAACCACTTGCCTGCAACACTTTAATTAATAACATCATGATAAACTTTAGACACTCTTCGTACAGTATATTCTATTCTATACAGTCTGAGAAAACATGACACACTGAGCTAAATAACACACAATATTGTGTTAAAGGGATAGTTCACCCAAAAATTAAAATTTTACTCACTTTGTCATTCCAAATCACTCTCTTTCTACTGGTGAAAAGTGAAGCCGCCAAACTCCTAATATGGCGCGGACATCTTGCGCAGATTTGATCATGTGACCCGGTCTGCGCAGTAGTGAACGCGGGACCGGGGCAGAAACGGTTAGTACAAAGTTTACAAGTTTACTATAAACAGTTATGGACATGTAGAAATTAAAGTTGAAGCTCAAATCTCCTCCCGACAATCCCCCAAAAGGTTTCTTGGTGCCTCGGAGACTACTTCGTTTAGAGAAGCTGTCAATCATAATGTTATCAAATAACAAACTAAGACCAAACTTATTTTAAAAAAACTAACACTTAAACTTAAATCAACTTCATTAAAACTACTTAAAATGACAGAAAACATCTTTGGAAAAAGATTATTTGCAGTGTAATTTAATTGTTTAGTTTCCGTCATGCCCCATTAGACTTCATGGGGAGGGCGGGGTTTATGACATATACTGGGACCAACCACCTGGGGGCGATCGAGACACTTTAGCTTCATTTTTCAGCACTTGATCTATCCCGAGGATACCATAGTCAGCCGGATATGGACCATATCCGTACTTGAGCTGAACAACTGCTGGAATGGATTATTTTCCTGTTATCACCTGCTTTGAAACAATCTGTATTTTATAAAGTGCCACAAAAACAAATGTGACTTATCTTGACTTGAAAACAAAAGAAGATTCTGAAAATTGTCTTTTTTTTTTGTCCAAACACTGAAAGTCAAAAGAGTCTTTCATTGTATTTCCAAAAAAAAGCTGAAATATTCTTTAAAAAATATTTTTCATACGTTTTTGTTTACACAGTTTTGGAATGTCATAAGGCTGAACTATCCCTTTAAAGTGTTTCTTACTGAATAGAATTAAATAAATGCAAGGACCAGCCTGCAGATATAAATATAGAGTGCGATTAATATTTAACATGAAAATTTGTCAACAAATAAACAAGATTTTAAAGTAATAAAATACCCTCACTAAGACGAAATATGAACATCAGGCCAACAGAAATTTCATCAGGTAACTGTAAAAGGCCTCAGTATAAATCTTCAAAAGGTTTGGAGTAGTTGAACATCAGATAATCCATGTAGTAAAAGTCATACGTCCTTTGTCTCTCGGTCACATTTAGCTGTGCAAAATATCTCCTTGTGATTTCCGAAGATGTCCTTTCTGCATTAGGGTTCCTGTCTTTGAAACTAGGGAATGTTAAATTGCTAGGAGCACCAATACTTCTCAAAAGGAAATTGGCTTCTTCCTCCAGAGTCTCAAATTTCCCAATGAAGTCATAGTCCAGCAGGCAGGGGCTGCAGAGATGTCCAACGGGCTCCCAGTGGATGTCCATGCCAACCGGCCGATGCACGTCTAACAAATACTGGATGAACTCCTTGAAGGTCACACCCGCCCCTGTGCGTAAGGCATACTGCGTCGCATTGCTGCGGTATCTTGATATGATGGGCTTCCCAAACACTGGATGGTAGTACGAGTTTGGACTCTCGAACTTGTCCCGAAAAGCAGACACTAACCTTTCGAAAGGTTCCCTCAGGAACAGGACTTTGGTGTAGGTCTTCAGACGCCGGATGATGCCCTTTTGATTGAATGAGTCCAAACGTTTAAGGTGATTCCCATAATGCACCTCGTCATGTTTGATCTCTCCAGTGGATGAAGCGAGGCCTTGAAGCACCATGAGCACCCTCTTCGAGTTGGAGCAGCCCACCTTTGGCACCTCACAGTAGAGGAGTTTGTGCTTGTCTTCCACATAGATACGGGACACGTGCATGCGGGTTACAGTCTGTTTAGCCGTTCCGCTTGTGTATTTGGCACAGACCTCCCTCATAAGCCTCAGACGGGAGCTCTGCACCTGAGTCATTCGCTCGGGACTGTCCCTGATCTGGCCAGGAGGGTCAGCGTTGAGCTGCTGGGCAAGCGGGCCGCTCTTAAGGAGGAGTTTACGGTGGCTCTTTGTGACATGGGAAGCAGTGATGTCTCTGGGATTGATTACAGAAGAACGCTGGACCCCTGGGAAGACTGGAAGTTGGACTGGTTGCACAGGTCTAGGAAAGTTGTCTTCTGTTGGATCAGACTGTCTGTTACTGTCAAGACAATAATGACACTGTTCCTGAAAGTTAGAGAATAAGAGTACTGTCAGTACTCTATATATATATATTAAAAGACTGTATATGGAGATAATATAATATTAATGAATTAAAGGGCCACTTAAATGCTGTTAAATGATAAGAAACTGTTTAATGTCACGACTGTTTCTTTAGACACTTAAGAACACTTTTAAATTGACACTAAAATTACAAGATTTACTCAAAGATGTTTTCAATAATTATGTTTGTTGTGTTTCAGAGAAACACACTTATTTTGATGAGTTGATTAACAAACTAAAGCACATGTATTAATTATTACGTACATTATTAATTATTTTAACTGTGTTATTCAATATTACATTCAAAGTTAATATATTTAAATGTACCAATTTGCAACTTCCTCATTACAAATGTGTAAATACATGATACAAAAGTTTTAATTGAAATAACATTATAGTATTTATTTGCCATTGATGCTTGTCAGTAAAATTCCATATAGAGATATACATCAGTCCTACTTAAGAGGTTCAAAAATAAACTCTTGAGGTCAGATAACTGCATTGAAAACACAATTTAAACTATAAAACATTTTCATATAATTGCAATTAACATACTATTCTAAGTATATTCTTTTAAAGTATTAAATACTTCCGTGATAATACTCTTTTTAAAAGTAGGCTATGCTAATTTTTCCACAAGGGCATTTATCTGCATTTGTCTGAATTCTCTGCAGGATATTGTTGGTAGACAAATTAAATAAGCAAATAAAAAAAATAAAAAATATCAACAACAAGTTAAGGCAACATAACTTATTTAGTTGAGTAAAAGCAATGTAAAAAACTTAAGTAATTTTAAAATCAAACTTAGATTTAACTAATTTTTTAAAGTCAGTTTAATTTAACTGAAGTTGAAATGACATCCAAGTTGTTTAAGACATCCAAAAATTTAAGCCAGCAACTTTAAGTGTAGTGAGAGTGTGAAGTGTGAGTGAATAAGTGTATTTTAATAAAGTTAACATGGCTAAAAGACAAACTACAGGTCATATTTTAAAATTCATGGGCTTGTGGATTTAAAATCTTGTCTTTTCAATGGCAACCACCAAGTGGAGCTAGCGCACAATAATTCCAGCAGTCGCACAGCGCATGATGCGAAGCAGGCACTTGTGGACATATTACCTTCCTTATGGCCTGCACTTGGGAGAATGTGACCTTTGCACCTGAGGGAAAAGACAAAGAGGGAACGTTAGGATGACATTTCGGGCTTATCCATTTTTACAATCCACGTACCATGAAAGTGAACTTTAGGGTTCAGGAATTTTCATTGAGCTGCTTAGATTCAAAGTGCAACCAACGAGAAGTTATACTGAAACCGCAGTTATTCCGCCCGAATGTGCTGAAATAAAAGAGCATATGGCTCAATGAAGTGGTGTCCTTGCTTGAGTGTTTGCATAGACGAAAGTGAAGAGAAAGGGCGGACGGACAGAGGGAGGTTGACTCCTGTGGCCGACTGCTAATGTTTATGTGCTATTGCTTGCAGCAGCAGCTCCAGATGGTCTCCCAGCAGCCTGACAAACGCCATCTTGACATCAAAGGTTATTGTGTACGAACAGAGGTGTGTGTCGAAAGATATTCCTTAGTATTCACCATGGGAAGAGTTTGCAGGCGAAGTGTATGGGGAATGAGATTAAAAGAGTCATACTGAATCAGACTTTGCAGCTCTGGCAGAGATGTCTCAATGCTTTGACATTGACCTATGGAAGGGCAGAGACTAGCATCGATTAGATGCCAAGGCCATGACACTTTTCGTTGATAGATTCATTGCAGGCGGTGACCTGACTCGGGTTTGAGAGCTACAGCAGGTTATTTACAGGCCAGAGACGGTTTTACTGTACTGTAATACTTTAAATCAAAACTGACTGTATTTGCTTTCTGTCTTACTGTGAACGATTCAATGGTGCATATTAATCCAAAGAATAATTGTCCTTGTAATCTTTTATTCAAAATGTACTGTCCGTCTAGCACGTTTACATAGAAAAACGTGACACTATACTTAATTTTATATCAAATTACTCGTATGAACATAATGAGTCAGTCAAAAATATTCACTTGAATCAGACTCACTAAGATGAATCATTCAGAACCATTATTGAGTTCTCCACAGCCTGAATGAACAGCGAGTGATTTTTCTGTATCGTTAGTCACAATAGTCTGTTTATTGACTGTTTACAACACAATTTAAAAATCGATCAATTCCTGATGGATAAAATCCTGACTTTTTTCTTATTTAAAATTCTGCCTCTTTAGTTTTTGACTGATTTATAAAAAAGTATAACAATGTTAACAAATATTAATAAAGTCTGTTTAGTGTTTAGAATGATTACAAATAAATAAAGTCATATTTTTCTTCACAAAGTTCTGGAAAACAATAGAGTTCATTCATTGCACTGCACATTATACATGTAATCTGATTTGAAATGTATTTTGTCATGAGGACACTGTAAAGGTTGTAATTTCCCATAGATGAGCGACGGTATGAATTTCAAAGAGAATCTGCAAAATATTCATGGTTTTCTTTTATTCATAAATTCACAACATCCTGGTGAGACTGTTTTATCCTGCACAACTTGTGTCATAATGTATTATTTCACTTACTCTGGCCGCAATGCTGTGTGCTGTGAATGTATACCAGGATAAGGATCAACACAGTGTGCTTAATTTGTGACACAAAAATATGCCATTAATAAAAGGAAGGACCCATCTATGTCTGTAATTGAGATTGCAGACATGGATATTTTTGCATGGATGTTTTTCTATTTATGCAGTTTTATTTAATGCTCGTCAAAGTAAATTTTCCACTCTACAAGATAAACAAAATATTATCACAGTTTATATGGTGAATCAACCATGTATAAACCCATGTAAATTATTTAATTTAGTCATGAATTATTAAATGAACCATAATCATGTGGGTCGGGGTCCGGGGAAAGTTATAATAATAGTAAGTGATAGTGAGCAATTACCATTACAAATGATGATATTAAAAACACTATTACAAAAGGTTGAATAATTTTTCACTATATTCAAATATTCTGAAAATTAAACCATTTCCTGGCTGGTTCATAAAAATGGAAATAATGAGACATTAGATTTATTATTTTTTCTTATTTATGTTAATATTTTTATTTAAAAAGTAAATTGAATAAATAATCCCCAATGACTGTTTTTTTTGTTGCAAAGTCTTATTTATATGGAATTATTTAAAATATATTTTGAATTTCTGTTGATCTTATTTAACTAAGATTTAACGAGCGCTTACTCTCTTTTCATCTGATCTTTTCATTCTGTGCTGCTTGATATTCATTTTTAGAACTTTACAATAGAACTTTAACACCTCCAAATTGTAGCAAGTTCAGTTATAATTAAGCCGTATTAAGGATTGCGACTAAATTAATTTGAATGACTTATTACAGAAAGAATAGGTTCATAAACAGTCATTTGTTTGCAAATAGGACATTGTTTTGTGTAGGAAACACCGAGCATTCTTGCTGTAAAAAATGACCAAATTTGCCATATAGGGAGTCTATATGCCAAATTACTGAACTTAAATATAATACTATAACTATACTATAATACTATAACTGAACTTGCTACAATTTGGAGGTGTTAAAGTTCTATTGTAAAGTTCTAAAAATGAATATCAAGCAGCACAGAATGACAAGATAAGATGAAAAGAGAGTAAGCCCTCGCACGGATGCACAGCCTTGTGCGTTGACCCGACTGCGTGCAATTCTCTCACGCTCTATGGGTCTGCGAGATCTCTCACTTGAGTGGGAGGAGGTGAGAAAGGGAGGAAAGGAGAAGGCAGGAGGGATTGTGTGAAAGATAACAGACGATCCCTGTAAACAGCTAATGTCTTTGCTGTGCGTCTCCCTCCTGCCTGCACCGGCAGATCACTCAGTTCTATTAGATCAGAGATGGCCAACCTAAACGACATGAGGTGAAGCAGAAGAGCGACGCTGCTGCACGGTAGGAGCTGGCAGTAATGGAGCACTGCAGACAGCCTCGCTCCCTATGACTTCACAGCTTATGAATAACTCAAATCCCAGGAAGAGAGCAGGAACATGGAGCAAGGGACTCTCACTGGTCCCACCACCATGTGATCTTCTAGAATGCTCTAGTACCCTATAGTTACATTTTAATAAAAGAAGCTGAAAAAGGGCATTATAACACATTCCTTGTAATATAAACTTGCTTCCATAAAAGGACTTTTTGGAAGTAATTCACCTTTGGCTAAGCCCCGCCCCCCTTAGTTACTGTTGCTAAGTCCGTCAAACTTCATCTGGGCTCTGGTTTGGTGTCAACATGGCTTATGCTGTGACAGCTCTGTTATCAAACTTTTATAAAGCAGCAAATAAAGTGTCCGATAGAAGTAGGCAAAAGGGTCTGCAATATGCGTTTGAAGGCTATATTCAAGACATACAGGTGAAACACAAAAAACAACAACAAGGCATCCAAAATAGAGGGAAAAGCATAACGTCACCGGTCACAGTCAAAAAATGAACCACCGCATATCCTACTAATCGAGACGGAGGCTGGGACTAACAATATCAGGGAGCATCACTGTTCATGCAAAGCTCTATTCTCACTTATGATCGTTATTGCAAAGCAAACAGACTACACGAGTATAACGTTGTATTTATTAGCAGCGTGTGCTAGCTCAACAACCAGTATGAGAACCGAAATCATAACCTAAAACGTTATAAAACTTCACAGTAAGGTTAGAAGCAAAAAAGATGTGCTTGTTGATCTTTGAGGGGTTTAGCTGACTGAGGACGTCCACACAGTTTAATCGTTTTTAATATTTCTATTTAGCTTTATTTTGATTTTAGATTTTTTTCAATTGATTTTAGTACTTCAACTTAGATGGTTGTTCAGTTTATATAATATTTTTAACTTATTTCATCTTGCATCTCAATTCAATAAATGAGAACTACTTTTTATTTAAAAAAATAACAACACGTTTGGCAAATTTAAAAAAATGTAACGTTACTCTTACAGGAGAAGTGCAATAATATAACATTACTTTTAAAGGCAACATTTCCCAACACTAACAGAAGATGACCATCATATGAAATAATATACCCTCTTGTTGGGTTATTTTATGCCACACGCTATTGATATGGATTAAGATACTTGTTCACTAATGCTTGAGTGCAGTTGTATACATATAAAGTTATATAACAGACGTCTGAAGATCCAGAGAAGAGCAAAAGCAGGCAGAGTGCCTGTCACATCTAATGCAGGAGCTCTTTGTTTACCGCGGTGCAGCTTTCCACAAAATCAAATCAATATGTCATAAACACGGCGACAGTCTCCGGCACGATGAGATCCTACTGATTTGACAGAAACAGAGAAGCAAGGTTTACACTTGAATAGTTTGTATCTATAACTAAAAAGTCCACAAAATAAAACCCAATAAAATGTCATCATTACTGATATTGTATCATTACATAACATAGTTTCTAGCAAGAGCATTTGGAAGGCATCGAGGTATCATGTGTCCAACCACCGAGACCACTAATGAGGCTAAATTTGGTGGTAAAATACGCAGCTGTCAACATCTTCATTCGCACACTGTGAGATGTCGTGACTGACTATAATAATGGTTTCCTGATATTAGTCCTCTTCATTAGACTGAATGCACTGAGAAAAACTTATTTGTATGCCTGTCTAATCATATTAGATTCAAGCAACAAATAAATCAGGAAGACTTAGTCTATTGCCATAAATGATAGTAAATAAGTCAATTGGTGCATTAGTGATGAGCTAAATTCATTTGAAATATAAACTCAATTTGAGGGCATATGGGGATGCTCAGTTTCAACGGCCTATAAGCAAAGATTCAGCAAGAAAATCAGGTATGAATGAAAAAAATTGAGATGTATTTGCCAGACAGACAGTGGGCGTATAAATGTGTATACTGTATGTGTGTTTCTTTCAAACAGCTTTAGAATTTCACCTTGCTTTGGAAGTATTTGTTGCCTGGCTGCAGGAATATGAATTTAAAAGTTAGTCATATATATATATATATATATATATAGTATATAGTATATATATAGTAAGGAATAAAAAATAAATAAATAATAATACAGAAATGTAAAAAAAATAATAATAATAATTAAATACAAGTTATGCTCTCTATACCAGACTTTATTTT